CCCTTATAAATTTCTCCCATATTTTTTCATTCTCCTTTTTACTCACCCCCCCTCATACCTCTCCCACCTCACTCCCTGCTCCCTGCCCCCTCCTCTCTCCAGCTCATGTTGGTAAAAATATCTGCAGACAGCAGGAGCAGAGGCACGCCTGACTCTCTCCCCCTCTCTCCCTCCCTCCCCCCTCCTCTCTCTCTCTCAGACATCCCACCCATGTGATCTCACAGACTGCCTCTGCTCTGCTCCACTCTTCTCCAGTCAGGCTCCTGCCTTTCAGCCGGCTGCAGCTAATGAGCCTTTGTGTGGCCAAAAAAGACAGCAAGAGACAGAGAAAGAGAAGAAGAGAGAGAGGCAGTTAAAATGAGATAGACTGTCATCTTGCAACAATAAAGCATATGCTACCGACAGTGCAGTCAGAACAGCAAAACTACCAGTCTGTCTCACACTCCTGCACCCTTTTTTCTCATGCCCGTGGAGCTCAGGGGTCGTTGCAAGTCAGTGGACTGAAACAAAATGGGACTCTCTTCATTCATCATGTTTCACTTTTTTTGAATAGCCACATTTGTGACTGTGCTGCCGTACTGCTGTGAGAAGAGGTGAACGGAGTCACACTCAGCCAGTGGATACAGGTCAGTTGTTCCTGTGAGGGGGCAGGCCATGCACAGGAGTGAAATGTGGCCACTGTAGGATTGATGTGTCATGACTTGCTCCAGATGCCACAGGCTTATTGGCATCACTTGGGATGAGTGTTTTGAGCTTCGCATTGTCAAATCGGCTTATTGTTATTGTGGGAACCTTGTGAATGATGATGGGTAAATAATTGTATTCATAATGCAAGTGTGCTACAGTGCTGTGCGCGCAGCTGATTAAGGATAAGAGTTGGGTTCCACAGTTGATGTGTGTGCCGACAGAGGCAAACACAGGGAGGGGCTTTCCAAGCTGGCTTTTTTGCTGCATTATTTTCTCTGGGATTTTCTCTCTTGTACCATAGTGTGTGCTGCCCAGCCATGATTAGTGGTAAGGCAACAGTGAAGACAAAGAAAGAGCTGTTGGAGAGCAGCAACCATCTCTGTTTTTTATTTAGCCACGATGAGAGAGGTTCACCCCATGTTACCCACAGCTCTGTGGTTTATGATGTCATTTGTATGCAGTGTTAAGATTTTAACTTTTCATGCCATCACAGCTGAATACAGATGAACTATTATACACTCGTCTGAAGGAGAAACTGTATAAATGCATCAGCAGAATTTGCTTAAATATTAACTCCATTTTCTAACGTCAGAGTTTTATTGTACACAGTATGTTAGACTGGAAACATTGCCATGTCATATAGGAAAGCACTAGTTGTGAGAGTACATTAGAATCTCCATGGAAACCACTTTTGGTATCAAAGCCTAGTGCAGCCTCATCTATGGGCTAAGCATACAAATAGGTTTCCAACAATAGTGTCTAATTAGGACCCTCAGTAGAAAATGGACTAAAATTGCACAGGTCATTTCTGGTGGAAATTTCCATTCCTGTTGGCTGACAAATTAAGTGGATTGTGAAGTAAACCAGTTTCTTTGCTGTTTTTGATTTGAGACCAGCAGATTCTGTTAATGAAAATGTAAAATATCACAGGGCAGGCTCGTGTAATCTAGTCTGTCTTCAGTTATCTTATTCTTGTAATAAAACTGAGTATTTTAATCTTGAGTTTCCTGTCAGCCATTCATTCACTTTTTTTAATCTACAAGCTCAGGATACAGACTCCCATTTCTATTTAAAATAAATAAATATATATTTCTCTTTGGTGAGAAATCTTTTCAGTGAGGTTACCCTGACTGACTCCTCTCTTCTTCACATTCTCCCAGATGGAGGACGCCTCACATTCCTTAGTTGTAGGTAGAGCTGTTGACTCTGGAGGTTCTCCAAATGCTGGTGTTGCCATGTCACTGCACTGAACAAGCACATCCTCCCGGGAACAATGACCCTCTTGCTGGCAGTGCTAGTCCTCTCTGGGTTCCACCTCTTTCACAGGCAGCATGTCTCTCAGGCAGCATTTGCATCTGTAATGATTTGATAGCAGAGCCCAGATGAATCACTGAGGCTGTCTGTGAATGGAACTCCCCCACAAGCTGCTCTGGCAGATAGACGAAGTGGGACTGGGTGAAGATGCACACTGTCTTTACTGATTCCAGGTTCTCAGAGAAAAAGGCAGCAAGGGAAAAGCTGCCAGTCATAGCAATCCTTGCTGTGCTACTGCAGCACTATTTCACTGGCCTTATTTTGAAATGTGACATGACGTTCCAACTACTGCTGTTAAAGCAGGGAAAACAAGTAATTTACTATGATTAGGAACAACATTTTAACAATGTCATGTAAATACTGATTACCACTAAACAAGTACTACAATGTTGCAGGCCATTAATTACACACTAAAGAATAATGGCAGGATATTTATCCAAAAAAAGAAGGAAAAAGGAGCAACTAATAGTTATTGCAGTGTCGTAGAGCCAGTTTCTGTAATCATAATTAGTTTTATTTTATTTGACTGATGAGCTTGTTCTTGTTTATTTGTCTAATTGCATCATCACTCAGGGAAGTTAATGGACCCTCTCAGTTGACATTGAAGTGGTCTGCAACACTACAACACAGCATGACATGCTAACCACAAACAGCCAGCTGAACCTACTGTGCATAACATTGCTGTCCAATATTACTGTAGAGCTCATGTTTAAAATATGTTTTCATAGCAGCGCTGTGGCGGCTTTCTCTGGAAGATTTGTTGCAGTGATCATGTCTATTATTCCATTTTTGCTAATATCTTTGCGGTGCTTTATGATGCATGACTACAGAGTGCATTTTTCAACACTGTTTCAGCAGTTACTGCTTTTCACAGTATAGATTTTCACTCCAATTTGCGATGGCTCTAACTGCATTCACCTGAGGCCTTTTCTTTATCCTCTGTAGGAAGTATATGAGTTAACTGTAGCTCCCTTTTGAAGGGAGCCTTCTTTTTTTTTCCAAATAAGGGCAGAGCATTTTGAAAAGAGGAACAAAATTTATGCAGGAAATTGGAACATGCAAAATTGAAGTTGTTTTTGTTGTTTGTTTTTTGGGGTTTTTTGGAGATAGTGACTGGTTGTCCCAGGGTTTAGATTTTGATGGTGGACAATCAGATGAGGTGGAAAAGGAGAGGAAGAGTGATGCACGATTGACGTTTTAAAAGGGAGTGTGACAGATTACAATGACTTTAAAGACCAAGGACTAAGTTTTGTTTGAAGAAGGTACCTCAGTGGACCAGAGTACTGATGTTGACATTTTTGAATGAGGTGAATCTGAACGTGTGGGAAAACAGAAGTGATGGAGGAAAACAAGAGCGGCACGATTAGCCCATAGTACAGAGGGAAAAGGAAACTAGACATGAAATTGTTCTCATACTTGTACATGAAAATGAACATCTTTGGGTTTGCACTTGTATTAAAATTCCACATCCCATGCAAGTGAAAATTTTAGTGTATTGTATTAAGAGAAAGCCATCATTTTAGACCAGTGCATATATTTTTAATCACTTCTGTGTTTTATAGCAGCAATTAAATTGCAGACACCTTAGATTTTGCATATTGTACATAATTTCAACCTGACAAGTAAAAACGCTAGACAAGTTGGTCCATTTTCTCTTTTTGTTCAACCTCTCAATCAAAGAGAGTGGAATGAACTTCCTGTAAGGAAGACATAGTATATAATTCGCAGCTTTCGCCTTTCTTTTTCTGCTCCTTTGTGCCAAGTGATCAATTGCCAGGAGAGTGCCTGGGACCTGAGACAGTGGCAGTGGAGATTTTGTGCATGTTTGAGTGAAAGTGATGGTGGGAGAGTCTGGCTGGTTGCTAATTGAGCGAGTTGAAGATTATGAGGGCTCCGAACTGGATATTAAATAATGTGTGGCCCCTCTGCTGTCTGTCGGTTTCAGGTGCAGATGCGGCGGGCCATGAGCGGAATACTGAAGAGGAAATTTGAGGAGGTGGAAGCCTCCTCCTCCCCGTGCTCTTCCGTGCGGGAATCTGATGATGAGGTCTCCTACAGTGAGAGCGGGGATAGCAGCGACAGTGTCAACCCCTCCGCTTCAGGCCCTTTCACCTGTGAGTGCCTGCATCTTTTAAATTTGTGCATTATATTCAGTGACAGTAAGATTAATGTCTTCATTTTGCCTCGTGATAGACAAAGCTAAAGGACTGAAAGGGATTTTTACGCAAAATCTGAGCCAGCCTTATTTTGCAGCCTACAGTTATTGCAGGATGCTACTCAAAGAAGACAAATGTGCATGTCTGTCGATAGCGGAATGTAATATGAATTTACAGTCATGGCTGTGCATTAGAGAGGAGAGGAGGCAAAGAGTCTGGTGCTGTAATAAAAGGGAAGCATGCACAGGCAGCCTCCCTCATTAGTAACATCATCAGTGTACTGGCCCAGCCAGAGGAAATAGCTGATTTTGTATCAAGCTGCATGAGTGCAACATTGCTGGTGCTGCACATGTAAATGCAATATCCATCTAACGTATCTAAAAACAAGTTTATTGTTTTAAATAATGATTGCTTATTGCAATCTAGGTTTTTTGTTTGTTTGTTTTTAATGAGAGCAGCCCCGTTGAGAACAGACTCATGCATAGTGGGTTATGCATTATTAATTGTTTGAAATCAGCTGACTAATCAGTTAATTGTTTAGTCTTTAAAATAGATAAAACGATTTCTAGATCCCAGTGTAACTCTTTATTAGTCTTTTCTTAAAATATAAAATCAGCAAAAATAAAACATATTCAGTTCAAAATATATGTAAATAACAAAACCCCCCAGCACATTTCTAGACAGAGAGATGAAATCATCAAATGCACTTTAAAATATTTACCTCTTTATGATGAATCTGTTGAAACATTTGCAGATTATTTTTCTGTAAGTCAAGTAATGAGTTTCCTCAGCTGTAGTTTAGAGTCCAATATTAATAGGATAGGGGTGAGATACAAGTAGACAAGTGAAGTGAAGAAGCCACTAAAGATATAAAAATATAATTTTGAGCTGAGATTTTATAGGTGACTCAGAGGAGCCCCCTTGTTAAAAGATCTCACAGTATGTCTGGGCTTAAAAACAACTTTGAATAAAAGAAATCAGTCTCAGAGAAACCTATCACAAAAGACACGTCTCCTCTCCAGGTTTCAAAGGATACTGAAGTCACTTCTAATAAAGAACACCGTGCACATGTGAATCTTATGGTTAAAGACATGTGATGGAATGTGAATGAAATAGATTAAACAATACTAGGTCATTGATACTTTGGGGGATATTGAAAACATTCAGATGCTGGCTGAAAAATCTCAATAATTTGATTCTTAAAAAAGAAAAGAGCCACATTTGGACAGCATGTTTGTGTTCCCATGTATCTGCACAGTTTGCTTACTTGGTTAATTTGGTGTTACTATTATTGTTGGGTCTTCCAATATACAGCGTTTTGATGTGTGTGTTGTTGGGATTTTGGTGCTATATATAAATAAATAAAAGATTTTTTTTAAGCCAGGTAGCAAGAAAACAATGTGAAATAAGAGTTTTTGATGATGCCTTTTTGCGTGTATGAATGACATACATAGGGACGGGGGCCGTTTCCTCAGTAAGGGGGCTTAGAGACAGAAGTTTTGTACTGCATCTCTTGAGGTTCTTCTTGGCCTCTGTGTCAACCGCAGCCGCCGGTAACCGGGGCCTCGAAGGTCAGCTAATAGCAACAAGAGAGCTGCGCACTGGGAGACAGCGCTCTTGTGAAGTAACACACATGTAGTGATTGAGTATCTTGGCAGACGGATGAAACACTTAAGTCCTGAGTGGCTTTGCTTTACATCCTTTGCTGTGGTGTTGGGCAGAGAAGAAGAAAAACATCTGTAGTCTGTTTCTTTTAGAGTGTCCACGAAACAGTCAGATCAGAGTCTTGGGGCATTTAAAAGAAGACCTGTTAGGACAAATTTCATATATGAAATATATTCATCATATGAAATCTGATTACATAGCTCTTAACATCTGTTAATTGTTTATCTATTGTTTTTATAGGTAATGCTACTCTTCGCTTCATCTGCTCTTCTCAGCAGTCTTGCTCTCTTAGCTCTACACGTGTAATGAAATGCATTGTCTGCTTTTGCATGGGGTGGAGAGCTGTTGGAACCAGATGGTTTCTATTTGTTCTGTCTGTCTGATAGGGGGGTGAATACTGGGAACACTGCTCCTGTGAACCAGCTCTCTCCATCTCTGGGCCAGGCAGGGGATTATTTATGCTCCAGTGTTGCCCTCTTCTCTGCACCTCCCCCTCGTAGAGCACTCCTTAAAAAGACACACTAAAGACTTGCATGCCAAGTGGAAGCACAGAGACATGATGAAAATCTGTGCTAATTCACTACACTGCTATAGTAAATTATATGTCTATATCTATATATCCATCTATATCTATATCTCTATATATAATAGATAGATGTAGACATATAAAAGAGAGAGGCTATTTTACATGGCTGTAAAATAGTTCTACTCTAGCAGAAAAAATGGTAAAATATATTTGAAAAAATTAGAAGTTATAAGCTCTTGAAGTAGAGCTGTAATCCTTTCCACGTGGCGCAAGTTAATTATCAAAACCATTTTACAACAAAAACAAGAATTGCATGCATGCACTGTACTGTGTTCAGACTTCCTGTTTTCCTTTTCAGCTAACTCAATATTGAAGAGGGAGAAGCGCTTGCGGACGAGAAGGGTGCATTTTGAGAATGTGACAGTGTACTACTTCAGCCGACGGCAGGGCTTCACCAGCGTGCCCAGCCAGGGAGGCAGCACACTGGGCATGTCCAGCAGGCACAGCTGGATCAGGCAGTACTCTGTGGGTGAATTTGCCCTAGAGCAGAAGAGGATCCACAGAGACATGCTCAGAGACCACTTGAAGGAGGAGAAACTCAACTCAATCAAACTCAAGGTGAAAGCATTTTTATTAGTTTCTGAACAAAATCCTGCCTGTAAATCTTTTTTACTGTGGATTTCATGACCTACATTCAGCAGATGTCATTGTTTGTGATGAATTTTTCCTGAATGATTTATCGTTTCAAATAAACCAGATTGTTGATGCTGATGTTGCTTGAATATTTTTTCCTTTTTGTTTTTAAAGCTGACTAAGAATGGCACAGTGGAGTCTGAAGAGGCCAACGCACTCACAGCAGAGGACATATCTGATGATGACATTGATCTGGACAACACAGAAGTAGACGAGTACTTCTTCCTGCAGCCTCTTACCACTAAAAAGCGTCGGGCACTGCTGCGCTCCTCTGGGGTAAAGAAGATTGATGTGGAAGAAAAACATGAACTTCGGGCTATTCGCATGTCCAGAGAAGACTGTGGCTGTGATTGCAGGGTTTTCTGTGACCCTGAGACCTGCGCCTGCAGCATTGCAGGGATCAAATGCCAGGTAAATCCTATGACACGCATGCTGTAGATTCATGTTCTATTTTCTGACTTGTAAACAGAAAAAAAAAAACCCAACATGCGGCCCATTTAAAGAGAATGTGCTTACATGAATAATTTATAGACTACATGAAAGAACTTGCTTACGTGTTATTTTAAAACAAAATCTGTACATTTCTTTGCTTTTCTGTCTTCAGGTGGATCGTATGTCATTTCCATGTGGCTGCACAAAAGAAGGTTGCAGCAATTCAACTGGAAGAGTGGAGTTCAATCCCATTCGCGTTCGAACGCATTTCTTGCACACTATAATGAAACTCGAACTGGAGAAGAGTCGTGAGCAGCAGCAGCAGCCGTCCCCAACCAACGGGTACCACGGCGAAGCAAGCGACCTGGGAAGTGGAAACCCTTTTGCTCAATCACAGCACAGGCTGGAGTACTCTCTGTCAGATGCAGTTCCACAGGCGGCCAGCATGCACCTTCAAGCTGCAGACGACATGGAGGAGACACTAGATGAGGAAGACGAGGAAGAAGATGAAGAGGATGAGGAGGAGGAAGAGGAAAACGACGAAGATGAGGACGATGAGGAGGACAGTAGCAGCGTTTGCAGCGGGCTGTCTGATTCCAGCACACAAAGCTTGGCTAACAGCGACTCTGAGGACGAGGAGGGGGACGACGATGATGAAGAGAAGTCTGAGAATTTTGAAGACGACATGACGACACCGTCGGTTTCTCATACCGAAGTTGTGCCCTTATCCTCTGTGCTGTGTTACAGTGATGGCTCTGTGGGACATGACAACCACATTAATGGGAACACTTATTTAATGAACTCCTCTCCGGCTGAGTATTATCAGCTGGGGGGCACGAGCGCCGTCTCCAACGGCCAAACCAGCCAGCCTAGTGAACCTTATGGGGAAAACTTGGCATTCCAAGATCCAGTTAGTACGACCAACGGCAACGTGGCCCAGAGACCTTTCAGCGTCACTGCTGAACAGTACACAGACTACTCTAATCATGCTGAAGAACAATACGCAGTCAATCACCATTTTACTCTGAGCGGTGGTGCCCCTACCACCCCGCTGACCTGTTATACACCTGACCCGAAGAATAAAGTTTTGTCCAAAGCGGCGTTTGAGGACCAGGCAGAAAACGAGAACCAGGCTCCATTTCAAAACTACCTGAACAATAACAATCAGAGTTCCTACAGCAGTCACAGCTCATGTATGACAACTGAGCAGCCACCACAAGAGTCAAGTCTCAACGGACATTCTGACCTGACCTTACTAGCAAACAACACTAAGAACCTGCCTTTACCAGACCACTGCCCTGAGGTCACAGCCATTTAGTGTGCCTCACCTTTTTAATTATTCTTTAAGTAGTATTACGTCTTCAAGAGGGACATAATCATGGCCTTTTTGGATTATCTGACCTTAAATTTCAAAGCAATTCACTGCGCCGTAATGCTTTTTCATCTGTAACTATAAAGCCACAAGTTCATTATGTAAAAGGCTTTGAGGTGCTTTTCGCTGTCTCCAGTACATTGTGTGCTTAACTGCAAAATCGAACGTATCAAAAAAACATCAAAGCATAATTTATGTCATGCTGTGCAATGTATCCTGTAATTTCAGATGTAAAGTTCTAGTTTTAAGCAGATATTGTACTGTAGATGGAACTTTTCTATGTCTGCTATATGTGTCAAATGTGCAAAAAAAGGCTTATTGTCAATTTATTTATTGTTTTTGAAGTATGTGTATACTTATTGTAAATGTTTTGATAACAATACGCATGCCGTTTTCGGAATCTCAGTGATGTTTGGGAAAAAACGCCATTGTTTTATATTTAAAAAAAAGAAAAAAAAGTGTTGTATACATAATGTACATTTTTCTTCTTGTTTTTGTCACAATTATATGCTTTTCTATGGTTTTGAAAAGCATGAAAAAGCCTGAAAACTTATTTGTATGTTTGGAATATGATATCAATAGAAATGTCAAAATCAATTCACAGCCTTGTTGGGGCTGTGTTGGGGTCCAGTGGCATGCAGTTGGTTTGAAATGACGTCAGTTTTCTCCCCGCTGTTTACTCTTAGAATAACACAATTAGCATGTGTCACTATAAAAGAAGATTTTTAATGTGAAGACTTTTTTTTTTTTTAAATACAGGGATATTAATGAAGTCATACTTTGACATATGTCCAAAAACTATGAAATATTTATCAGTAAAACAGAATTAATTTGAACAGTAACTGGTCTAGTGGACAAAATATGTCCTCTAGAAATGTGCCAGTAATGCTTATGGGATTTCAACATTATACTGTCTAACAACTTAGATGTTTATTTACGTAAATCCCATAAAGATTTTAATTTTTGTTTTGTACGAATAATGGTTTAAACAGATTTTCTCTTCTACAGAAAATCCTTAGTAAAAATCAGCCGATGGGGCATTTCATCACTTTAACAGTGCTTTATATTTGTATTTTAAACATTGTTTGTTTGGTTAACAATATACAGTTATTAAAACTATAAGGGGTAAACATGTTCAAGGTTGACAATCAAAACTTATTTTCAAATAGTACACAGTAGGGCTCCTGGGGTCCTGTAAGCCATCAAAAATGACAACCAGATACGGAAAGAATATTTACCAGAAATGTATAAATAACCTTTAAAATCACAGACAAGATGGAAATTGAAGTGACTGCTCAACAAGTGGAGGACTGCAATACTTCAGTAAACAGCGCTGCTGTAATGCTGGTGTTACCTTGAGCTCCCTGCTCCTGCATGAATACTGATATTTGTCCCACTTCCAATGCTGCAAATATCCGCAACATCACTATAATCAGAAGACTCGGCGCAAGAGTTTGGGTGGTTTTGTGCGACACTTGAGTAGCTGGGACCTGTCATGCCACGTGCCACAAAGGAAGTATACAGACTGCTTTCAGGCAATCGGTGGCATCGGCAAAGCCAATAGTTCTGATTAACTGTGCCAAAGCATACAGTGTGAGAAGGCTAATACGATGACATCCATGTGGGAATCCTGTGTTTGGTTTTATGTTCCAGTATTTATTACGAATGATATAATGAAATGTGTATTTATTGTGGTTTATTAAAAGTCTGTATTGAGTAAATTGCTTCTCTATCTTAAAAAAATGTCTTCTGTTTCATGCTGGTTGTGAGTTGTAAAACATCATGTGCCTGATTTATTTAATTCGATTTCGTATTCTGTGAAATGCATATGTTTTGCACAAAATGGTAATTTTTCTTTTTCATTGTGTTTGGTTTCAAACTGTAGATAGACAACTTCACTTGACATAATTTTGAAATAAATATTAAAATTTCTTTTGTATCTAAATCACTTTTGATATATTTTTATATTCAAGCACAAAGTGAGGAGGTTACTGAAACAGTGGCAAAGTTGAATTTCTAGTTGCAAAGCGCCCTCTGCAGGCTAAATGAAAAACTGAAACGCAATAGCTCTAAGCGGGACGCAACTGAATTTATTGAGTTCAAAATATAATCATTAGACCAAGGCACTCTAACACAGAACATTTATATCCATTCTTCCGCCACTAAAACAAATTTACATTAATCCACAGCCATCTAAACACTAGTGCCTGCACCAGAAATTCATTTGAGAACCCCTGCTGTAAAAATGGAGTCCCTTGGGCACAATATTTTCCATTCACAGTTTCCTTAAAAAAACTAAAAATAAAAAATAAAAACCCCACCAAAGCACAAACTTAAATAATACAGGAAAACTGTGCTGCAGTTAAAAATAATATATCTCAGAAGACAGTATTCATTACTGCATACATGATGCTAAAAAACAAAAACCGATGCATTAACTGATTGAAATACATGTTTAAGACATAACTTACTTTCCCTCAAAAAAACAAAAAAAAAACAAAAAACAAACAAACTAAATAATAACAACAACAACAACAACAACAATAAAAAAGATACTTTCAGAATCAACTGAAATCTATAAAGTTCAGTCCTGCTCTGAAGGTCCTTTTGATTAAAAAAAAAAAATAAAATGAACCAAAACACTGTGTTGACAGAAATCTGTTAACCCTAACCTCAATAAACCATCACCCACGCTGACAACACTGACACACATTCCTGTCCAAGGGGAAATAAAAAACAGAAACAAACAAAAAAAAACAAACAACAAATTATCCAAGGCACTGGACGGTACTGAATAGGAGGTTTTTCAGTCCAAGAAACACATTTTTAAAAAGGCACAATGTACATCATTCTTGTCAGTGTCATGTTTTCACTGCTTGTCCTAAAATGTGTTTTTGACTTGTCATTTTGAATCTTTATGATCTACACAATACACAATTTTTTCTTCATTTTAGATTCATATATTTGTTGACAGATTAAAAGAAAAACCCTTTTCACCCTACACGGAGGGGATCCTTGGCTTAGTTATACAGTGAGAGACTGTTTTCGGGCATGATTAGGGTCCACTTAAACTATTGGAGAAAAGAGTCACTGCAAAGCAATGCAAAATTGTCATGAGTAATCACCTTTTAGCCCACTATGAAAACATTTTTTAGTAGGTTTCTTACATTTTAATTACTATTAAAATGATGTGAATCACATTTCGCCTTTGGAGTACCTTTATCCAGTACGACTTCTATAGGAGGCTTTGGATGTCTGTTCTGAACTGCATCACAATATAAATCAGGGACTACCTTTAGGAAGAACAGAGTTCAATGCTGCGGAGACCTGATGAACCAATTGATCTTGTGCCCAAGACCTTAACCCTATAACACGTGTTATTTTTCCTTCCCATTTCTTTCCTATAGATCGTTGTCTCTGGAACTTACTAGTGTTAGCTTTAAATACCCAAAACTGTGTGTTTTGGTTGGGAAGACTTGGAGTGGTGAAAATATGTCAAACACAAAAGAGGCACTTGTCAGCAAAGTGCATCTTCATTGTTCATATACTCAGCCCTAACTTTCCTTCAGCTCATCTCTGTATAAAAATAAATAAAAAATCAGTGTGATAATTTATCTAAAAATAATTAAAAAAGGAAAAAAAAAAATCAGCATGGAAACTGCATATAGTATTTTTTTGTCCTAGCTTGTTCCTCACACAGAGTAGCTTTTTCTAAAGTGGTATTTTGTGCACTCAGACGAAGGACCAATGCTGGTATCTGTCAGAAGGGTTGCAAAGAGCCAGAGAAGGATGCTCGTGACGGGCACTCAGACACATGTTCCATCCGGGATTGTAGAATAACTGGTTCTATATGAAAATTTAAAAATGCATATACACACATATTACTTTAACAATAATATAATGCAGGGATTGTGAAATTAGTGTACACTAAAAAGACTAAACTCACATCCTTCAGTTCCCATTTTTGCTCTGCTCCCACCACTGTCTTTTTGCCTTTGTACTGGCAGTCCTCCAGCTTCACAGCCCCCTCCGCCCCGTGCAAACACAGCTCCTTCTGAATGTTGTGTCTAATCTCGTGATGTGTGGAGTACTCGAAATACTACGGCATAGAAACAAATAATGTATTTTAAGTAAACCTGCTCAACTTGTCAAAAAGAGATAAAACAGACGTGTTCCCACTGACCTGGTTTCCTCCTAGACCATGACATGGGTACATGATCAGCTGTTTCCCACCCTCATTGTTCTCCCCAGCATCCAGACATGAGTCCTTGCCCACATTTTTCACCTACAGAGAAGAGGAGGGAAGGGGAAAGCAATGAGAGGAAACAAAATGAAAAACTAACATCCAGTGCAAGCTGTTCAAACAACTTTAGCCTCTAGAGTGCTTTCAGTGGTGTTAAATTGGAACTGCTCAGTACCCTCTGGAGATCCTAAGTGGAAACCCACAGTGGCTAGACAGTGTGCTGTGAGGTTTGAAAAGGAGAGCTGGTGGTCTGGTGTGTGATCTTACTGAGCCAAAGCGAAGTGGGTTGAGATCAGGCATGAAGACTTCTGGATAAACGTTCTGCAAATACCAGGAGAAGCTCTTGCACTGCAGCTTTTCACGGAGTTCCACACGTTTGGAGATATCGCCAAAAGCTCCCTGTTATAACAGAGAGGCAAAACTTTTTTTAAACTGTCAAAGCACACTTCTGGCATATTTAATGCTACCTCGGCTTTGCTGCAACGCAACAATGCCCCAGACTGGCTTCTTATATTGTATTTAGCTTCTATTCCTGCTGTTAGATATCTGTAAAAAACATTCTTCAGTATCAAAAAGCAGTATATTCAGTGAACATCTGACCTGATGCTAAAACCTAAGCCTGAATCTCTGTCTGAAATTTCACACCAGCTAATAGTATAGATACTGCATTTTCACACTACATACTTTTATAAAATTACATTACGGAAAAGACTCATTCTTTATACTAAAACATAGTAATATTACTCTGTTTAAAATAAATCAAAATATTGCTGATTATTATCATACTTGTTTTTCTTAAGTCAGCAGGTATATTTTGGTAGTATAATTACTCATTTGATAAATTAACTACAGACAAGTATTTGATCGCTGCACTTTTCAAACTGGGAGTGGCGAGTGGAGAGTAATGACTCAAGGATTTGCAGGCGCCCAACTCACCTAAATAATGAGGGCTTTACTATAATGACAAGGATGCTTCTCACACTAGTGCTTACTGATAGCTACTACAGTGGATTCTGTGATGCTGTTGACAAAGCCGTGTCTGTCTGAAGCCAGTGGGTGAGGGCTGGTCTGCTCTGTGAGGTGTCGCCTGGAGGGAAATTGTTTATAGGACCTGTGTGACCACATGTTGGGAAACCCTGAGAGACAGTGTCATTTACCAGAGATGACTCCTTCTAGGCCTCTTATTCCTCTGTTGGTTTTTACCCCCAAAAACGTGCCCCACACCCCCCATAGCACCCACACACCCACAGCTTTTAAGGAATATTTCAATTTACTCTGCAGTGGTTGCCCTGGTAAGCGGAGAGGTATGCTTTTCTCTGCAGAGTATCTGAAGTTATTGATAAGCAGACATAATGCCTCTTCTATCCAAAACATTGGACAAGAGCTGGATTTGCTCAAACGTCTTTTGTGTGTTTTTGGGACAGTAATGAGTGGCCTTAAAACACTTAGATACAAGTAGATGGAAAAATTTCTGCTGCAGACCAATTTGCAAGTTGCTGCCATTTTTGTTTTTTTTGTTTTTAAAAAAACAAGAAAATTTAAAGAATCCTATAACAGAGTAGAATAGAATAGAATAGGACTTCAAATGCAAAATAAATAAATAAATATCGAATTCTGGAGAAAAATGGGAACCTTTCACCAGGAGCAGAAACATCTGGATGAGCATGTTGATGCCATTCATGGAGATCCTAAAGACTGTTCCAGATCATGATTTTAAAATGTATCCAACTCTAAATACCAGTTGTCTGTTTTAAGGTTTGGGTGTCTACTAAACTAAAAGTTTAGTAGAAAGTAATAGTTTAGTAAAGTAATTCTAACATCTGGGGGGAAAAAGGGAGTAAGAAGCTATACGTACATCTTTTGCGATCTGTGCAGCTTGCTGGTTACGTCGGTAAAAGATCTCTTTGTAGTCATCCATCCAGACTTCAGCCAGTCTCACCTGATTGCGAGCAATCACTTGTGTACCCTTTGGAAAGGTGTGTGGACTTTTGGTGCGGAAAACATGACCAACAATGGAACAAGGAATTATCTCCAACTGTCCTCCACACTGCCATACCTTCAAATTAATGATTGACAAAACAGATGCACACGCCCATGCAGCAGTTTGAATAACTGAATGGCTCCGAGGATAAAAGATATTTGCACACATAATGACAGCTTGGTAATACCTTACCCTAAAGGACATTTCGATATTCTCCCCACCCCAGATTTCCATTTCTTCATCATAGCTTCCGATACGGTAGAAATATTCTTTGGAGATGGAGAAGAGCCCACCAGCAAACGTGGGAGTCCTGTGGATACATTTTGTTAAATGTTTATAAGCTTCAAAAGAAGATTGGGTTTCGGATGAAGTCGATATCCAGTATACATGCACAACTTTGACTCACTTGATTGGATACGTCTCATCCTTCCTCCTTCGCTTCTCATGATCTGGTAGGCTCTCCCAACCAAATGAAAGACTCCAATCAAAGTTCCCCCGATTGTGATTCTGGCCGTAAGGGGACGGTTTCATGAACTCAAAAGTATTGAGATCAATAGTGGTAATATCAGGACTCACTACTGCAGTGTAGTTTTCCGCTATCCTAGCCAGCAGAGGTTCCAGCCATCCATTAAAGCATTCACCTGTTAATACACCCACATAGGGAAATGCATCACTTACTACTTTCTCTGCAAAAAGCACTAAACTACTTTGTTTAGAACACAAATCCATATGAAAAATGGCTTTATAAAGGAGTAAGCAGTGTTTACAAATTGTGCGGGTGTGTGTTTAAGGGTGTGCAAACCAGTTTTTAAATGTGTGAGTAGTGTCAGTGGTGGTGACTAACAATGAGCATCCAGAAAGGTGAGTGTGTCACCAGTCGCCACGGAGGCACCCAGGAGCCGAGCAGTTATGAGTCCTTTTCTCTCTCGCTGGCGCATGACTCGTACAATGTTCAGCTGCTTCAAATAATCATCCAGCTTGTCCTTTAACTCATCTGAAAGCGTGGGATATCAATTAGACGTTAGAGTTCGAGATACAGAGATGCTTAATTTGATGAATACAAGATAAAAAGCAACACAAAATACTCCAAAATAAATCAAATAACAATAATTGCTTAACTGCTTACTAGTTAATCTCACAGACCCTAGCCCGAAAAAGAAGACTTAAACAGATTAAGAACAAATTTATGTTCCTTCCATGTTTAACTGAGCTGGCTTTCCAAAAATCTGCCTGCTCACAACAAATAGCTGAGCTTAGGTGTCAGCTGAACTTCATTCTTTGAAACCTCTGTCCTTTCCAGGATTACGTTTCCTTCCTACATCTGACCCATTTATAATGGTTAACTCTGACTCATCTCTAAGCTCAACCACTGCTAATTCCTCTTAGGAAAGTATTCACCGCGGGGCCCCTTGCTTCCTGTTGTTAACCCACATCAGGTGCCACAAAAGAAGAAGCAGGGAGCTCCCCTCTGCATGTTTCATGGCACACAGTGAGTTGCCCACCCAACACGCTGCATGAAATTGAACCCAAAAGTGAGCAGGACAGTCATGAAGGAGCCCATTGAGGTTTTACCATCTACGCTGGCGTCATCCACCAGGATGATCTCTTTGAGGAGAATGGCGGGGGAGGTGTGAAGGACACTGTATACCGTCCTTAGCAGAGTGCTCCAGGCCTCATTGTGAAACACAATTATCACACTGGTGGTCAGCAAGGGGGGGCATCGCTTGAAGGTTTGCTCAATGCATCTGTACAAGGAGGAAAAAGAGCACAAAGATCTGACTATCCTGTACAGTTCCTGAGTGGCACAGTATAGTTATTACATCTCCAGGCTCTCCCCTGTGGGGAGTCCATTTCAGCTGTGACACTGCATGTGTGGCAGCCTTTGAAATACCTGCCATATTAGAGTAGGACAAACTTTGTAATTCAGCCTAGGGAGATTGCCAGAACATGGACCGGCTTTATGCGTCTGCCTTGTATCGACTAAACTGACATGAGAAGCCCATGTGGATTTCCATGTGTTTGGATGTACTGCGACTAGCCAAGCAAAACGTTGCTTCTTCCTGAAATTTTAACCACAATAATTGGCCAGGCATGCTGAAACAAAGTCTCTCTCACAGTAATCATCTCTGTGGTTTCTGCCTGACATTTTCCCCAGTTACAAAAAAACAGAAATTGAGAGAAATTTGTTGGGGTTAGATGGTCGCTGTTGCATTAAGAAAACTACTTAGATAATTTATATGGGTATTTTTCAGAGTGAAACTATATTTTAGACAGAAAGAGTAGCATCAATACTGAATTCATATCCACAGGATTGTATAAATACTTGATTTTTAAAAAAAATAAAGCCAATGTTTGATCTAATATGTCCCTTAATAACACGATCTTTTAAAATTGTTATTTTACATAGGTTCATCAGAAGCCTGGAGAGTGTACACATACTCTGGTGGTCTTGTGTCTGCACCCAGGTCTCTGCTCAGAGAGATGTGGTCACTTGCATACAAGTTAAAGCAGTGTTTCTCTTCACCCCTCTCCTTCTCCTTTTGCTCATTGGGGCTCAGCGAGTCAGTGTTGAAAGGTTTCCCAGCAGCTCCGGGGGCAAGAGGGTTCTGGGGTGGCCGCTCCAGAGCTGGCCTGAGCTCAGCAGCAGTGTAGTGACCTGGCAGACAAGACGTGCCGTCTGCTTTCTCCTGATGACGTACAGGGGCTCTGATCTGCATCTTTGGCATTGCATCCCTGAAGTTATTGACAGCTCCCATCACCATTCCCAGCATGGCATCCCGCTTCACTGCCATTTCCTTCAGCCACGGGTCCTCCTGTTGGCTTTGGCTTCCGACTTCCCATTGTATGAAGAACACAAATGTGACAAAGACAAGAGCCACTACGAGAAGTTTCAGTGGGTGCAGGCGCCTTCGGAGTACTCTGCGAAGAACTGGCATTCTTTTTGAATGTAGAGCTGGCTGGCTTTGGATTGAGATTCAGCTGTAACAAACAATCATATTCATAATCCGAACACTGACAGTAAACAGTATTTATGTGGCTTCGGGATATATGACATAAAAGGTTGAAAAAAAACAAAACAAAACACCACACACACAGAGAACATAATGAAATACTGCCAGCATATTTTACCTTTTGGTAATAAAAAGGTAGGCGTGAAGCTTCCTGTGCTCCATTGAAAAATCACATATTTAAAACCGGCTGGTGAAATCAGCAAACAACCTCGGGTCTGGATTCCCACAGCAAAAAAATACAACGCACCATGAATCGCTGACCAACAAGTTAAGGCTAACAACGTCCTTTAAACTGCTCTCTGAAAATTAAACAAACGCCATCTCGCTTTAGCTGGAAACCATCGCTTCAAACAAAACTTTTCTTCCTGGTGAAGCCAAAAAAAGTCAAAAGATTTGCTCAAAGATTGCCTCAGTGAACTTCCGTCTCGTTGGATCCAGGTGTGCTCCTCTCAGGTAAAAGACTATGACGTACATGTGCGCTTGCGCAGAGAAAACTTCTGCGTATCAAAATAGTACATCAGGACACAATCCACACCTGAAATAAAAACCAAAAAAGGCCATTACGACAGAAGAAAACTCGCTAAAACCTTTAGAGATAAATAATTAAATAAATCAAAGATTTGACAATCACTGCTGAATGGAACATTTAGGCTATCGTGACAAACTATTATATAAATACGTTAAAGTGGTCTGGAGCTCCTCGAGAAATGTTTGAGACTCCTCTGCGCGGAGCTGCTTAAAGGTGTCATTAATAGGATTTGTTCTAGTGGTCATTCACTGGGACAGTTGCTGGGTTACAAATAACGGAGGAACGCGATATATCCCACCGCATCCAATCAAGTCTCTGAGAAACGCCGCATATTGGCCATAGAGCTTAAACTTATGAACTCAAGAGGAACGGACAACGCACATGGTACACAAAAATCTGGAAAAGTTACGCATCCCTCCCAGCGAAGACGCGAATAATTATTAAAAGCTTTCCGTATTCCGAATAAAAGTTGTTGGCTAAAAAGCTTAGAAACTCACCACCGCACACTGCAGCTTGTCTAATCCTTGAAATGTCCCACGTTTCCCACAACGGATTGTGTTCATAAAGAGTTGGATGCTTGCAGGAGTAAAGACGTGGATTCCGCCTGCAGGGAGCTTGCTCTGGTGCCCAGTTTGAAGTCTTTCTGCTTTTTGACTCGCACAGTGACTCCATCTGTAGTGACTGTGTTCTCCGCAGCTCGCTACCCACGGCAGGCAGCCAGTTTATTATGTCCATTAAAATGCTTACCGTGTGTCCTATTCTAGTCACGCTTGTAACTGTTTTTCTGTGTCAGCACCGGTGATGTAAACCGTCTAGTCATATTGTGTTTTCATTCTGTTAGGCAGGTATCCATGCTTTCTGAACAACAAATCAAAGTTTGAAGGGGGATAAAAGCCAGGCCACAAAAACACCATATCTGAAATAACTTTATTTGGAGAAAAAGACAAAGACAGTTCTACATTTCTGTTTTACGCTTGAGAAAATAAGTCAGTAAATCACTATTGTTATCCAGTTATGATAGATTGTAACAGATGCAGAAGCACATTTACATCTTAAAAAACAAAAAAAATACCATAAAAAAGACGTAAAAAAGACAAAAAACAGCAGCAGCCTCCTCCTGCCGACGAAAAAAAAAAAAATCCTTAAGTTGTGCTTGAATATCTTTACACTTTTTTCCACCCTCTCTTTTGATGGTCAGCTACCAACTATTTACATGGTCAGAAAACTTGACAGAAAATTCAAAACAATACATGTGGATTCAATCAAATAGTTACAGAAAATATTTCTCTATCACAAAAACTACAGGTCCAACACTATGATCTCAGGGAGGCCCGAGCTTTGTCCAGGATGTCCTTTCTTATTCTTGGATAATTTGGATGAGCAGCCAGAACCTGTGAACAAAAATTAACAAGATTAACAGGACAGAAACATGTTGAAGATATAAACTATTAACATCCAAACGTGTCTCACCTTATGACAGACGTCTATGGCATCGACATATCGCTTCGCTTTCAAGTAGTTAAAAGCAAGCTTGTACCCTGAAATAAAAATGGACATACATGTTAGAAATGTGAGCCTTTGAATCTTTGTCCTTAGTAACAGAGCTAGATGTGTGACTTTGACATACCAATAGTTGGGTTGGTTTGATTTCCATGTTTCCAAGCCATTTCATAGTTCAATGCAGCATCACGGAATGACTGCTCTTTTTCCATTATATAGCCCCTATATTCATATGCTTTACTGCATGACTGGGGAGGAAAAAAATAAAATAAAATAACTGTGCAATTATAAATTTACTTAAGTCAGTTTCTGCATAACAAAGAAACACATTTTGGAAAAAAAGCACACAGAAAAACAGATATATATGTTAACTGCACTGTCCTCATTTCATATTTTAATAGTGACGACATTTTCAGGCTCACCTTGTTATGAGAGATGCATTTGTTTAGGAGTTCCAGGGCCATCTCGTACTTCCCTGAATGGATGTAGATGTCTGCCAGGAGTAGCCAGCTTTTCTCAAACTCATCTGCATCAGCAATGCTCCAACTCATCTTAGCTACACGTTTGAGCTGGTTCCTGGCACGAGGAGTTTGCTTTAGCATCATGTAAGCTGTTGCCATTGCCAACAAGGCTGGCACATGGTCTTTCTGAATGGAAACCAAGAATATTGGTGAGACGAGATGAATCTGACACCACTGCACCACTATGCCACTTCTAATCGTTTGCACTCAAATTGTCAATGGCTTCATTTATAGTTCCATACAACAGATGACATGTATGGATGACAATCCATTAACATTTAGCAAATATTAAATGAATACTTAGTTGGATACAGTGTAATGTACAGTGTATATGCACAAAAGAGAGCCTGAAGAAAGAGAAGGAAGACCAGCTTCTACTTTGGCAATAACGTCTACGAGAGAGTCATGCTCGACCTAGTTACCTACTTACCTCATTGTTGGCAATATCTGTGAAAACACTGAGGGCTTTCTCTATATTGGCCTTCTGTTTAGTCGCCATAAGGCAGTAGTTCTCCAGGATGCAGAGCTGTACGTGTCCACTCTGAGTCTGAGGCTTTAACTCCTTCAGCAGCTTCTCAGCTGTCCTCACAGCAAGCTGCTCTGACTCCTGCTTCTCTGTAGAGTTCCTGGAGAGCAACACCAAGCAGATGCAAATCTGTTATAACAGAAGCTTACACTTCATAGTCTAGTATTTCTTCCCTAATGTATTACATTTTCTTAATTAAGACCACTTACCCAATTTCACCATCTAATGTCTCAAATAGCTCTCCTCCAACCGTGTCATTGTCAGGGTTTAGGTAGATTTCAATCATGTTATATACAGCATTTTGGCCCCAATCATTGTCTTTTCGTGCCTTATTAAAGTGTCGCAGAGCATCATTAGGTTGTCCTGTGTACCTGACAAATAAGCACAAGTTTAGTCATTGAGTTTGACACAAATGTTCCTGTAATCTCTGGAAGACACTGTTGTAACTTACCAAAGATGAAGTCCTTTGCAGTAGTTAAACCCAGGGTCAAATCGAGACCTTGAAGAATGTTTTTCTGCCATATCAAGAAATCTGGAGGCGTCTTCCAGCTTCCCAGCCCTTCTCATCAATTCAATAAGACGTGACAGAATGTGGTAGTTGTCTGAAAACAACACATGGAAGATATTATGGCTTCCATTTAGACAATGCCAAATCACATTTGATTTAAAAAAAAAAGAGAGAAAGATGGCCCTGTTATACCTGGTGTGCGTTCAAGCAGTTGCTGAAAATGGAAAACTGCCTTCTCCTTGTTCTCCTTCCTAAGCATAATGTCTGCCAACATCTAAGGACAAACATATTTAAGACACAGGTTGTTATTTATGGTTCAGAAAAAGGTTATGGTCAAAACTGTAGTGGCAAACGATCAGAACAAACCAGAGTCGCATCTTCATTAAATTGGTCATTCTTCAAAATGATGCTGCACTGCTCCTGGCATGCATCAGTCTCACCTAAAGTAAGGTACAAGCATGCCAACTCCAGCATCACCTAAGAACAGGGGAAACATTCTAATAATGAAATCGATGTACCAAACTTACTGGTACAGTAATGACTATATACTGTAATGAGTCATTTTGCCTAGATAAACCCACCAACAACTAAGATCACAATTTAAAAATTTAAAACACTTGGGCAAGACTCAAAAGGACACCAGTGCTTGTTACCCACAGCTGCAGTAAGTACACAGAACGTTTTTGATTCAGCTGCACTGACCTTGCGATCTGTCTCACAATACACAAGAGCCTCTTTGTAGAATTTGACTGCTCTCTCATAGCCCCTCTGACTTGTGTAGTGTTTGGCGATCTCAGCACAGATCTCAGCAGCAAGTTGCTTCTGCATGGGGACAGCGTCAGGCTGCTCCAACTGCATGCGTTTCAGCACTTTGGCCTGTACATCCCGAGCCTATCAACAGAACATCATCATTATGGAAATAACATCAATCAGCATCATCATTATTATTAGAAAAAAAAAGAAAGGAAGACACAAGTCTTACAATGGTTAAGATGTTGTTGTGTGTAAAGAGGTCCAAGAGAAAGCCAAATGCCTGGGCCTACTTACTCTTTGTAGTGAAAGTATAGACTCCTCTGTTTTCTCAACTTTGTTTTGGACTTTGGCTAACAGGACCAGATAACGGCAGTCGTCTGAGAGCACAGGTAGTTGATTCACTGTGTGTAAAAAGTTAAAAATGCATAATGAAAATGGCAACAATTAGTCAAAGCATTTTCAAAAAACCAACAGAGAAATGTTTTGATTTGTTCTATAAAATGTAAGCAGTGTGGAATTTCCACAATCAACACTACCTGTATCGTCATGGCTATGGACAAAATATAATCATGACTAGGCTCTCTTGTTTATTTCGCTGTTAACGTCAAGACTTCACTGTATATAAAATAGTGTGACGTCTTAAGCACCTTGTTCATGGGCCAGAGCATCATGCAGGACCCTTTCACAGCGCTCATATTGCTTCATTTTCATCAGCAGCTCTGCCAGGTCATAACGCAGGAAGTTTTGTTGCTCAGTCTTCAGGGCCTCTTCATAGTAATTTATTGCCTGTGTAAAAGCAGACTAGAGTCAACAAAAGACTGTCTCCACTTGACTTGTATTTTATCTTTTAAATAAGTTTATGACACAAACCTTTATGTAGTGATGAGTCTTCACCAGGGCCTTCCCTATCTTGCTGGCTAAAGCACCATCTTTAGGGTTCTTCTTCAGTGCTTGCTCGTAAGCCTCAATTGCTTTCTGTGGCTGAGGATAAACACACATGCAGATAAGTGGTGTTGCTTTAAGTTTTTGTAAATATTAGAAACGGCTATAAACACGTGGTAAACACTTTAGAAGCTGTTGCATGAGTAAGAGCTGTTAAAGGAAACTGAATCAAGAAACAATTTGTTATTCTTGTTGTTCTCGAATACCTCGAATATACATTAAAAACAAGCATTTTAAAGCCAAACTTGAGTTGGTTGTTATATTGTCCAAAAGACAAAGATGAAACACATCTTGCACTTACTTCTTGAATCTTCATGTAGGCATCACCAAGTAAGACATACGTGTGAGAGCTGGGCAACTTTTCTATCATTTCTCTGGAGAAAAGATAGAGGTATCATATCACATATGGCGTGCTTCATTATGCAGGCAGATGTCTGTGCTGGTCTGTGATTCAGTCACACTTTACTAAGTCTCAGCTGTCAATAATAAGTATCATCTGAGACCAGTTTCAAGACTTGAGGAAACTGCTCATTTCCTTTCAGCTGAATGGCTTTGGTTGCCTTTATTTCATTTAGTTTAATCTTGTGATGTTATAAATTGTACTACAGACTTAACTTGATGACAGGTAGCAGCTGTTTTCGGAAGATATTACAAGGTTATGTAATCAATCAACTTAAACTACTTCAACTATTTCTCTTTAAAAATTCACATTGTGTTTCAGATAGAATGTGTCTTCATATATTTACCTACTGCCTAATATTTCTGTATTTTGCTCACTGGAGTCCAGATTTAGTGCTCACCTGTAACAGCTTGCATACAGGCGTTTCTCTTTTCTGTGGTTCAGATATATGTCTGCCA